GTGTGTGTGATACTAACTTCTAACCACTAACCGGCCATTCAAAAAACATAACCTTATTCTAATAGATTGATTTGATGTACATTCTAACATAATTTTTAGATAAATGAAAGTAGGAGATTCCATTCAATTGAAAAAATTGAAAAAAAAAAAGTAATTAAATAACCAAAATCATAGTTAAGTGAAATTACGACATACCATTATGTGATGTGTTTGGTAATTCACAGTTTAAGTTGACTTAGAATTCGAGATTCCATTCTAACATAACTAGAATTCGAGATTCCATTCCCGCAAAATTGTTGTCAGAAATACACCCTCGGACTCCGTCTTTTTTCTAGCGAAAATAGATTATAAAATCACATAAATTCATTCATAAGTTCCTTCACTTGTTCTATTTCTCCACAACACCCTTTTAACCACTAAAATAATTACTATTTGAAATTGTATGAAACCCTCGGTATTTGATTTATATTGAATCAATTATATGCTTTTTAGGGTGTTTCCTAGGTTAATTGATAAGAAACAGTAATAAAATCCCAATTTTTACCATGGTTAGCCGAAGAACGGTTCCTCAGAGAGGTGTGCTGATGAAGAACAGATCCGTAGAGCCTCAACAACCTATCCGTAGACCCCCCTCTTAGGAAGTATGCAACAAACTTTTTTTTGTCTTTTTCCGCTGCCACCTCAATTCCTCGTTACTATTCACATTTCTCAGAAGGTAAAAGACTTCTGCAAAGCCCCCTCTGTGGATCCCTTGGTCATCTTACAAAACTCAAATTTTCATGGTCAAAATGTTCAAACACCCCCTTCCCTTTGGTCATTTGATGAAATTTCTCTTTCTATTGGATTTTGAGTATTAAGTAATGTGTATATTGTTTAAGTAGACATTATATCTTTTTTGATAAATATTACTTTGTAGCACACATAAAAATTATGAAATTGTAATATTGAAAAAGGGTCGGGTTAATGAGTCTGGTATTCGATGATTTGGTGGATACGAGTATGGATTCAATTATTCAAAACTCTGAGGGTTATTGGAACAGGACGGGTCATGTTTTTGATTTTTTTAAAGGGTTTGGATCAAGGATGATTCGCTCCGAACCCGCCCCATTAACAGGTCTAGCTAGCATACAATAAACATAATCCAGTGGGTCGACATTGGTGCCTTTGACCTACGAATACATTGACGAGACTCACCTCACAGACGAAATCAACAGCAGCTCTCACAACAGAAGTACACGTTCTAAACACAACCTAATCAACCACACAAGGGTAACCCCTAGTCCACTTTCTAAATATACCAATTTGGTCAAAAGTCAACAAGGTCAAAGTCAAAGCCAAAGTCATAACAATCGACCTCCACGCCGTGGCCCACAGGTCTAAACCCGATCAAAATCCAAATCAAACAGTCAATATGGCCTCAGCCAATCTCCACGTCGTGACCCCCAATGGCCATGTCGTGGCAGCTAACAGACAAAATAAGTGTGGCTCTCCTTCAGTTCCCACACTATGGCAGCCACTCGCCACGCCGTGGCGACACTGAAATGTCGTTCATAAGCCATTCAATCCTTAGTCCACTAAGCCTTTAACCCATCTTCTCCATAATGCTTCTAGGTCCCCTAAAGGTCCATAAAAATCCAAGCTTTATGGACAAGCATGCCCATGCATGTCCTTTCCCAAGTTAGGTCAAATATGGAGAAATATGACCTAAAACCCAAGCATGATTCACAAATTACCACAAGGTTCTATATCTAAAAGATATAATACCCAAGGGACATAGAGGAGTCATAAAGTTGCTAACTTTAGCCCTTCTAACCTACCAATCACAAACAAAAGTCCAAAATGTGCCCAAAACCTCTAGATCTATGAGATAACACTATCAAGAATGGAACTAGGAAGCTCACCAAAGATCCAGAGAGTAAACACAAGGGGTGGAGGCAGATTGCTTGTTGATTCTTGCACTACACTTCCTTGTTCTCCCTTCAAAGATCACAAAAGTACCAAAAATGAGCTCACAACATGAAAAGAAGGCTAGGGTTAGGGTTTCTGAGTTTAAGGGGTTAATGGAGGTTGAATGATCACGAAACCCTAGCCATCATGTCATTTAAATAGGGCCCAAAGCCCAAGAATTAGGGTTTTCTCAAAAACAGTCGCCACACCGTGGCAATTCATGGCGACCTTGTGGCGGTCATTAAAACCCCACGATCAAAAAAACACTGCCATGCTGTGGTGAAGCCTCCACCACGTCGTGGCCACCCAAAATAAAATTTAAAAATTAGGAATTAATTTATACCTAAAACGGATGTTACATCTGAAGTGGCAACTAGAATATGGGATGAAGTTTTTAAATGGTTGGGGTTGCAAAATGTTCAAATTACTTCAATTGATTCTCTTTTCGATTACGTGGACTCTCTTCATTGTCGAGCGAATAAGAACAATGCAATTGATGTTGTGGTGGGGATGACTCTATGGTATATTTTGAGATTCCGGAATGATAAGTTTTTGCTAATGGAAAGTTGAAAAAATGGTGTATTGTTGATTCCATTCGTGAATTTTCATTTTTATGGTATTCTAATAGAAATAGGAAAAGTGTTGTCAAATGGACTTGCTGGTTGCAAGGTCCTTTAAATTATTTGTAATTTTGTTCCCTCTAGTTTCTTGCCATAATTTTTTCTTTATTTCAAGCTGACTGTTTCAAAAAAAAATGATCTAACGCCTATGTGGCGACAATAAAAGTGTGACAAAAATGACAGACCTAATAGTATAATCAATGAACCTTACATTTCTTATTAAACTCGCATAATGAATGCTCTAAATATTGATGATTTAGAAGGAAAATCTTTCAGATTTCTCTTTCCTTTCTAGATATGTTTTTCCAAACCACTCAAATTAGCAAAAGGGGCGGAATATTGGTTGAATTTAGAAATATAAATGTCATTTCCACTATAAAAAAGGGTTCATTAGAAGACGTTATATCTTGATATGCTTGTATAAGTTGGGGTTCAAGTTTTCGAGTATACATATAACGACCCATGTAACCACATCGGTACCATCTTCATTTTCACTCGTCCCCCTTCAGGAGGGGCGGTGTTCTCTACCCCTCATGTCATGACGAGGGCCAAGAAGGAAGAAATGCATATAAAGAAGAGATAATAAGAAATAAATAAGGAAGAAATTGGCGTGACACACCGTGGCAAAGGTCATGGCCTTCAACGCCAACCCATCCATACATTTCGGGGGTCAAAAAATAAAAAAATAAGTATGGGACTGTCCCACCCCTACTGTACCCCATCCTTTTTTTCTTTCTTTCTCAGCGAGTCGTCCCTCTTTGTCTTTCTTCATAACCCAAACAAGTAATCCACAAAGAACACAGCCTTATTCCATGGTTGCCTACGATCATGAATCCACCATCCACCACTTCTCTCATCGTAAACTCAGGAACACAGAGAACAACTAGGATCCATCTCCACCAAACCTCGTTTATTTATGCCATCCAATTAACTCCAACATCCACTTCACCCTCCCAATAGATATCTATGATCCACCTACCTACGTCTTTCTCTCTCTCTCTCTCTCTCTCACACACACACACGCGCACACACACACACACACACTCTCTCTCTCTCTCTCTCTCTCTCTCTCTCTCTCTCTCTCTCTCTCTCTCTCTCTCTCTCTCTCTCCTCTTAGAATGTCACCTTACCTCTTGATTTTTTCTATTCTCATTAACCTAAGCTTTAATGACTTCTAATAAGCTTTAATGACTTCTAATAAGAGCTTTAAATCACCATGTGCGGAGGTGAAATCATCATGACGAAGCCTTCTTATGGTTGAAACGTCATGAATAAGAGATGAAGGAAAACAACTAGCTTATATACTTGTTTTGTTGCACATTAAGCCCCTCAAGTTTCTTGTTTTTACACATTGGCCACCATATGACCACCCCGTTCCCGAGTTTAATTTAAAGAGAGAAAAGAAAGGAAATAGGTGGAAGTGTTGGTGTTCCCGAGTTTCATTAAAGGAAGGAAGTGGAAGGAAATGAAATGATCACTTTCCCTCCTAACTTTCCTTCCGATTTGGAAGGATTTGGAGAGAAAGAACAAATTGTTTAACTTTCCTTCCACTTCTCTCCAACTCGGGAACACAAAAGACAAATTTTTTTTTCCTTTCTTTTCTCTTCTTTTCTCTCCTTACTTTCTTTTCTCTTCTCTTCTTTTCTTTGCTACAACTCGGGAACGGGTAGCAACTTAAGAAATTTCATAAATGACCATTCTCCACCATTTTGTTAACATTCAAGTCCTATTTATTCAACAAGGCTTAACTTTCGTGATTTAGAAACCTTGGTTCTTAATCATATTTTTCTCAATTTTACTCTAGGAAACTTCTAATTTATCTATGATATCATCATACTTATAATATATTTTATTTATTATCTTTTGGTTGGTTATACTTATAACTTTTTATTATTTACTTGTATCTATTTTATTTTATTTACAAAAAAATCATTAAAAATAACAAAAACGTCTAGATTCTGACGACGTTACACAGACGGCACCACATAAATCATATGTCGTAGTATAAATCTATTTTAACACAGTTTTTTTAAGTGACGTTAAAATCACTAATATATAGAATTGAAAGGGGTTTTGAAATTAAATTTGGCGCAAAACAACAAACAAGACTGCGAAGTCTTTTTCATTTGGGTTTGGTTCTTGCATGTCATTTTCCTTTACTCCTTTTTCTAGTTTATAAAATCCAACTTTCAAACATGCATATTCATGTATTCACAACAACACATATAAATACTAAACAAAAACATAAAAAAGGCATACTAAAGCAGTTATGCAAGTTTTATTAAATATGAGTATTCATGTTAATAATTAACAAGAAAAGTGAAACAAAGTGATGAAATAACATACAACGTGCTAACAGATTATGAGGCTTCATCTTTCTTTTACTCAAAAAATAATCAAAGAATGATATCCTACAAGATCCGACACTCCCTTTTACTGTGATCTTCTTCTCGAGTGCTGTGAAGCTGCATATCCTTCAAACAAATCCAACACAGCAGTCTCAAGATCTTCAACAGAGTACTTGATGTAATTCTCAGGGTGCCTCCCACTCTCAATATGATTCCTGAATCTCCCAAGAAACGACCTGTAAGCCGGAATTAGTGTTTCCAATATGGAAATTCTGAGCTCCTCACGAAGCTGTTCATCGGGTATCAACCATAACGATTGTGTCCTGTGAACTTCATCGAATATGGCATTAAACGATTTGAATCGTTCTCTCAGAGAGCTCTTTGAAACTCCAGCAGATGAGAAAGTTTTGGTGGTGTGTAATCCTTCGTCTCTCAAACACCGCAGTACTCCGACCCAGGTTGCTCGTTGGTGGTTTGTAGCTGCCTGTCTGAAGATCCTGGTAAGAGTTCTCAGGTACTGATCTCCGATCATCTCCCTCAACTCCGATGAACCTTTGATCTTTTGAACGATGTAGTGGACGTTGTTCATGATGAACAAATGAGCTAAGGAATTGTCTTTGTAGTGTTTGGATTTTCCTTCCAGGTTGAATTGCAGTATCGCAATTATCCAGATTAAGTGGAGAGCTAATGGTGATTGACCTTCGTGGTCGGTGAAATCCATGTCCGGAGTAGTGGAATTATCCGAGTATCTAGATCCGGTTGTAGGTTTGGAGACGATTAATTCTCCTAGGGTTTGCTTGTAATCTGAAATCAAGCTTATGTAGTTCATTACATACCTCGTTAATGGATGAATGGTTCCACCGGGGACAGGAACACGAGAAGGTTCTCGAAGAACTGCACCTTCAAACTCCGATAGCATGCCTCTAGCAGCCTCCGCTAATCTGGAGAGTATCTCCGTCGCCTGAGTTTTGATTGATTCGGCTGGTTTGGAATCAAAAACGTCGTCAATGTCAGGTAATAAGTCCAATAAGGAATCGTGTAAATCCAAGATCTTGAACAGCTTCTCCGGCGACCTACGGCTAATACTAATGGCTTCCACGAAGTTAAAAAGCTGAATCGCCGGACCTTTAACTGTTTCCATGAAACAAGCATCATCCGCCGCTGTTCCGAGATCCTCGAAGATCTGTTTGCAGAGTTTCTTCTCGCTTGCGAACAAGACTCTAACACAGATTTTGACAGCTCGTATCCACCTTCCGATTTTGGTGTTCAACGCATCCCATTCCAGCCTCTGGATATCGCCGATGCTCAGTTTCTCAACACCGAGCTTCTTGAAGCTTCCATCCACCACAGACTTCCGTACGCTTCCATATACCTGCACGCACTCTCTAGAGTAACCGGCGGTGAACATACGTTCGGCGATGCATCGGAGATCAGCAATGCTTTCCGATGGTATGAGATCTTGCTCGCGAATGCTGGTCATAGATCTGCAGCTCTCAAATGTCGCACTGCGTTCCGGAAAGGAAGAAGAGCCATCTCTGGAAACAGCGTCGTCTTCCCCTCTGTTGCTGCAATCATCGTTTTCCGGCGACTCACTGCGGGAGCTATTGGTTCTGGTAGTCAAGCGAGTTGAAGAGATCGACTCAGTGACAGATTCGGTCTCGATCGGAGTAGAGTTGGTGATGAGTATATTACGAAACTCATCCTCGAGACGAGCCATGGCGATCTGGATTGCATTGTTGACTTTTGTTGACTGCTGGTCATCATCCGACAGTGTAGTTGAGTCCATGGATCGTTGAATTTGATCGACGGCCTGCAAGTAACGCTCAATCTCTTGCCGATCCCCGTCGAAGATCATACGGACCCTGGCGTCTTCCGAGGCCGTGGCATCCCATCGGAGGATAATCTGTTCGGCGGCGCCGTCGTTCACCACCGGTTCCATTACAGTAATCAAGAAAAAGGAAGTACTTTTTTGTTTCAAAAAGCGGGGTAAAACGAAAATCTAAAAGGAGGGTTGGATCTTTGTATCGATAAAATGTATAATTTGTTTCTAGCTTTTGTGATTCGTTAAGGTCGGTGAGATTGGGGGAAGAAGATGACTTCAATCCAAGAGACTTAAAAAATAATCGAAATACAAACGATTCTGCTGGAATAATTAAATCCAAGGGAATTCGTGAAGGTTTTAAAATTACATTATTCAGTACTTTTAATATTTTATGTTAGAATATTATTTTTAATATAAAACTTATATATTATTACTCACACCATTAATTATGAACGACAAAATAGAAAAAAGAAAGAAAAGAAATGAGATTAAAAATATACGCTACATTATTTGGAATGATTCTAACAGAAAGATATATGTTTTTGGATGGAAAAATATAAATATCTGAGTATGGTTGAAGAATTTTTTTAGACAAACTTTAGCTTTCCTAATTTATAAGATTCATGGAAATCATGTATTTTATATGAACCGGATATAATTACTTTACTAAGAAAAGGCTACGGTCCATTTAAAAGATATATGAGTTTGAGTTTATGGGTTTGTATCACTCACAGTTAATCGTTAAGTATCAAGTTTGATTTTAAAGAGTTATTCATACAAATATCATATAAGGTAAAAGGATATCTCCATTAACCATATTTTATACATCGTAATAAAATAACCACAAGTCACGTTAACTAGTTTTACGAACTCTCTAAAGTTCTTTGTGTCATGTAGAACCTCGGCTATACATTCGCAACCACATTTTATTTTTCGTGTGATTTGTTTAAGTTAGTTTCAAGTGTCACTAACAAATATAATAGTTAAACATACATGAGAAATAATTTGTGTACATTCGTGACGTACTCCCACTCCACGGTGGTAAAGTCTCATCTTGTGTGTTGGCCGAAGTTACAATAATGACATTGAACCCTCGAATATGTTCGAAGATCTCGAAATGATCTTCCAGTTCCGGGGAGAATTCGCAAAACTCCATTTCCATCAAGAATTGAATGGACTTTTCCCGTATTTCGACTGGAAAATCTAACAGAGACATTACTGCAGAGATTCTTACCAAAAAAAATGAGACATTCCATGCCCTTGGAGAGTGCTTTGTCGTGCTAGGTCACTGATATCCTTTTTTGTCTTGATTTTTTCCCAAGAATGGATCAGTCAATCATGCATACATAGATATTCTTTGTTGTCAATGGTGAGGTTATATATGTATTCAACTATGACATATGTCTATGTGTTTAAAATGAAGAATAAGGTATGAGAAAGCAAACATGTAGCTTATAATGTATTCAATTCAGAACTCTATCATCCGCCGAGAATGTTACATACTTACATTCTTCGTCAATGTTCTATCATCATCGAGTTTAAAAGAACCATTGAGTAATTGATGAATTTGGGGATATGAGCATCATTCAAGATATGTCCCTTAGTTGCAAATGATACAACTAAGATCAGCCAACAACTTATTAGTCTTTTGTTTATATATATATATA